CTAATGTGTGGAGCCAGCGCTCACCATCGCGGACGTTCGCCTACAACTGGCAAAGGAAGAGCAAGCAAAAGCGGAGAAAGGGGAGGTTGGGCTACACGAGACAACGCCAAGTGCGTTCGTTATGCTGGGTCTGGAGATAGAGGCGGCGCAGTGCGTGGCTTTTTCGTACATCTTTGCTTGTTCTGACATACCCTAGGCTGGCGCTACGCCGGGACGTGAAATCCAAAATCCGATTGACGTCGCTACAAGACACCTCGATATACGAACGCCGCACCGCCCTACATAAGAAGATCCGGAGGTTCCTCGTACTGCAACAGGTGTACATGCCGCGCTTGCCCGCCGTCCTGCCCGCAACCGTTCCGACGCCTCAAGACGGGGGTGGTGCAATTATGGACGCCGAGAACGTTGACATTCACATGCCCTCCTCCCTTGACGACGCCCCTCGTACGGCTGCATGCGCCGCTGGCCTAGCAGATATCGAAGAACGTCTCAGGTTTGCGGAGAGCATCGAAACTCTGGAAGAGCTCCGCCGCCACCTTCGAACCCGCACCTACATGAATCGGTTCAAGATCAAGAACGTCACGGGGGTGAGGGCGAATACCCGTGCTAGGGTATCTCAAGGCTCTGTCGATGAGCAGACGTTCCAGTGCAAGATTCGGTACCAGCAGTCGCGTGCAGCATATCTTCGACTACATGGCCCAGGACCCTGGGAGAAGGAGCTGCAAGTACTCAAAGATGAAGACGTGCGGGGCCTCAACGAGCGGGCGCTCACGCAGCAGGAGATAGACGACAGGGACCGGATTCGGAGGCTTGGGGGGCTCGACGAAGAGGACGGGGCCGACCTCGAAGCCGAAAATCTACGGGGTGTGGTCATGGAGACACCTGCGCAGGCTGGCGAGTCGCGGCGCACCGTCTCTTGGCTATGGATGTCGGGTGCTTCGTGCGAGGACGAAACGGATCCCCGCATGCATGAAGGTAAGCCATGATGCAAATGAAATTCGTCGATCTAACGGTTTGTTGCAGCGCTGCGAGTCGAATGGGCCAAGACGAGAGCGCGATCACATCGATGGACGGAGGAGGTCCACATCGTCCTCGAGAAGATGCGTCGTGTGATAGCCTACGGGACGTGGCAGGCAGAATGGTGGCGACACCTAGCACGCGACCTGGACGACACCACCCGCCCACTCGAAATCCTGCGCGGTACTGCACTGTCAGGGAAATACGGCGAATTCGGCGACGCAAGCATGCGGGAAGGGTTTGTCGCGTTTGCCCTCGAGCACGCAGCAATCGAGGACGCCAGGAATCGGTTCTTCGAGAACAAATGGGCGGGCGCTATCTATCGTGCGCGTACCTCGGTGCTAGGTGAGGATCTTCCGATGCCGGCGATGGAGGTGAGAAGGCAGCCGATTGTGCTGGAAATCGAGGATACCGATGATTTCGACTGATTTTGGTTTCGGTGCATGCCGCGGATCTTGCTGATGCCTCGGTGTTTACTTTTTTGTGTCATCCATCTATTGCGGGCGTTTCGTACGATAAAAGTTCAAATTGTATTGTAGTGTAAAAATCCTTGGACCCTGACCCTCTGGGGTTCAACACTGGTGGCTGAGGAAACCTTTTGTTATGTAAATTGCCTTGAGGTTTGAGGGTCACGTGAATGAGCGGGTGGCTTCAGCCACTCAGCGGAAATCGCCTGTTTGCCGGCCATGTACAATTCAATGCGAAATAAGCAGGACTGGCAGTGGCCGCATACATTGTAATGCATAGGTGGCCATGGCCGCATACATTACAATAGTCCTACATGGACGCCTGGGTGGGGGCGTCGTCGAGGACGCGCGCGGGCGCGGATGTCATCGAGGACGTGCGCGGGCGTCGTTGAGGACCTGCACGGGCACCCATACAGAGTGTGGGCGTGCAGGCGTGGGCCTCGTCGAGAACGTGCGTGGGCGTGGGCCTCGTCGAGGACGCGCGCGGGCATGGGTGTCATCGAGGACGCACGCGGGCGTAGGCGTCATTGAGGACGTGCGCGGGCGTAGGCGTCACGCGGACGTGCGCGGGTGTGGGCGTTGTCGAGGACGACGTGCGCGGGCGCGGCCGTCGCTGTTGCGCGTGCAGGCGTGGCGTTGTCGAGGACGTGTGCAGGCGCGGGCGTCGTTTGAGAATGTGCGCGGGTGGGGGCGTCGTCGAGGACGCGCGCGGGCGCGGGTGTCATCGAGGACGTGCGCAGGTGCAGCCGTTGCAGTTGCGCGTGCAGGCGCGGTGTCGTCGAGGACGTGCGCGGCGTGGGCCTCGTCGAGGACGTGCGTGGGCGTGGGCCTCGTCGAGGATGTGCACGGGCGCCCGACCAGAGTGTGGGCATGCAGGTGTTGCACTGACGCGGTGCGGCCGTCGCTCTTGCGCGTGCAGGCGCGGCGTCGTCGAGCACATGCGCGGGCATGGGTGTCGTTTAAGACGTGCGCGGGTGTGGGTGTCGTCGAGGACGTGCACAGGTGCCCGTCCAGAGTGTGGGCGTGCAGGCGCCTTGGCGTCGTCGAAAACTCGCACAGGTGTGGGAGTTGTCGAGGATGTGCGCGGGCGTGGGCGTCGTCGAGGACGTGCGCGGGTGTGGGCGTCGTCGAGGATGTGCACGGGCACCCATCCACAATGCACGGGTGGGTGTGCTCACGCATGTGTAGCGCGAGCTGGGTGCATTAGTTATGGAAGATCTGGGAAAACAAAGGCATTTTTACTCACCTGTTCCAAAACCTCTTCGCAGACGCCCGCTACCCCAAGTTCGTCCCTCGCTCTGCGGACGCGGACGGTTGTGGAAAACAGCAAAGACGCAAGATAAGATGAAACAATGGACTTGTGGAAATTCGACGAGAGTCGACGCGCGGGAAATTAGCGTGGGAATGATTGCAGGACTCTGCACATTGATGCCACGTCAATTTTTCATTCTTTGCTTTACTCTCAACGTTCATGCTCATTGTCTTGGACGACGACAAGTGACTCCCTACTCACCATCCTCAGCTTAGGAGTCAGGACTGGGGTGATCCTATTTCATTCCATTCAAGGTGAGTACCATTATCTTTCTTTGTTGTTGAAAACATGCTCACAAGCTACCGCCATGTTCGCGTCGCGCCGTGTATTGTGGAGTGCGCGCTCGTTGCCGGTGCCCTTTTATAAACGCCCCTCCCAAATGCTGACGCTCATGCCAGCTTCAAGTGTCCCACCACCAGCACTCTTGTGGGTAGCTGGGCAACATGAGCTGCGACGCCGGGGCGCTGCTACTTGTCTGGTGGTAAGTGTACTCCCCCCTCTCTACTCTCTCTCTCTCAATTCCTAATTTTTTTCCTTATCCCCTCAGGGCGTAGCTCGGACCTATCTTACTGACATTATGTTGTATGTGTCGCCCCATATAGGCAAAAACCATCTTCGCGTCGCGTGCGGTGGGACGCCGAAGGCTCGGTGAGTTGTGGAACCTATTTGCAAGGATAATGTGCTAACCACCCTGTGTTTGCTGTTTGTGAGGGTAGGAATCATACTGGTCATGATTGCATTATGTGGGCTATAATAGTAGACTAGTACTTGTATTAAATTAGCACAAATAAATCGATTTTGAACCTACCTCTATATGTGCAATTAGAGCTGTTATAGCTATTATAGCAAGGGAAAATGCTGTAAAATCACTGGAATCTAGTGTAACTATACGAGCTATAATAGCACAACACCCAAAAGGTGCCATCTATCCGGTGCTATATAGTTGGCGCCTACCTATAGTGTCTATGTGAACTATATGAGCTATATAGCAACTTAGGGTAATTTAGAGCAACTTATAGCAACTTTGGAACCAGTTTGATTTTCCTGATGCTGTTGCCTCCCCTCCACAAACGCCCTGCTGCAGGCACTCTAGCACGTCGTTGCTGTGCTTTGACGCGCTGCCGCAGGACAGTATCCCGGCTGCTCGTGCCATCCTGCTGCACTTTTGCTGCACAGATGCCCAGGCCCAGGCCGCATACCTGGTGTGTGACGGTTCATGCACACCCTCTCCCCCTTCTCATTTACAGGTGCTAATTCAGCTCCGGTGTTGTGCTGCGCAGGAGGGGCTCATGGCGGGAAGCCTGAAAAATTTCAAGTCACAACGCGGTAAGCCCCCTCTTCACCACTTGCTCACGCCATTTGACACATGCCCCGCGTACTACAGAAGCACCGCCAACATGTCCTGCGCACATGCACTCGCGTGTCGTCTTGCGCATTCACCAGCACATCCCCAGGCCGGCCCACTCATTCACACCCAATGCTGTCTTGCACGCTCTCACCCCAACGTTAAGTGAGTTTTTTCTTGTTCTGGCATGTGCTTATGACTGACATAACAATGATGTTTTTGTAGGGTATCCATGTCATAGGCCAGTGCATCTGCATATTGGGTAAGCCTCATATCTCCTCTAATGTGGTACTATGCCTGATTATATTATAATTTAGATTGAAGGACTTTTATAGAGTGCTAGATTGACAAATGGTCAATTTCTAGCAGTAGCATGTATTTTGTAGCTAGAAGCTAGATTAGCACTTGTATCTAGCTAGTGAAATAGATTGATTTTGAATGTTTTTCTTTTCATTTCTGCTATAAGAGTCTATAAGAGCTATCATAGCCTAAGATATTATGCTAGAAACTCTCTCTTCCATTGTAGCTATATGAGCTATAATGGTAAAGATAGCCAACAATGGCCATATAAAGTGTCTATATAGACAGGACCACTCTAGTGTAGCTATTGGAACTATAAGAACTATATGGTGCTCTATAGCAACTTATAGCTCTGTATAGCAACCTTGGAACATTTTTATTTTTCCTGATGTTCTTTGCTTAGTTCAGCCTAATTTAGAGTAAAGTGGAAGGGTAAATACAATCTGGATTATATGGATACTATACAGATGTTGGAGTAAGCAAGGGATACCCTGTCCTTGTATACAATGCTGCCTAGTTAAACTGTATAACGGTCCCTGAACGATGATATTGACCCTAAGGACTGGCAGCTCAGTTGGTTAGAGTGCTGGTATATATAACCGGAGGTCCCGGGTTCAATCCCTGGTCGGTTCATTACTTTTCACCGCACATGTTCGAGGTCATGGAATCACAGATTCCTACAACAGAATCAAATTCTAGAGTGCTATATTGCTAGGGGAGACTATAATACCACTATAGAGCACTGTATAGAATGTACGCGGCCTGGGCACTGTACAGTGTTAGATAATCCCGGACCTAGCTATGAGCACTGTAACGCTATACAGCACTTGACAGTGCTACCAAGTGCTGGGAAGTTTTGCTGATAGACATACTTGCCTCATCGCACGTAGCTTCAAGACCTTTGCCAAATACTCAGAATGTGTTAATATCTGTAGAGGGCAGATACATTTGTGTACTGTTGCAAATCACGCACTTATCAGAAATTCATTGGCAATTCTAGCTGGCCTATAGTCTTTACGTTTCTACCAAACCTCTTACATTCAAGAAATATACACTAATCTTTATTGGCACTTGGCTAAACCTGAACAACGGGACTCGATCCGAACAACGTTACTTCCAGTAGTAGTTCTTGTGATTATTGTTTTCACTCAATAACACAACACACACACAAAACCCAACAATTCTCTTCTCCAAGAACACTCTTTTTAGCATGCATCATAGAAAGTCCTAATTCTTCTGCCTCTTGTAAGCAGCCCTGATCATGGTATGTCTGTGCTAGATTGCTCATGCTCATCAGAGTCTGTGGATTATCTTCTCCAAGGGCCATCCTCTTCTCCAAAGACCCTCTTCTAAGCATTTGTCACCACAAGTTGAAGCTCCTCTGCCTCTTTGAATTTGCCCTGATGACGAAAGGTTTGTGCTAGATTTGCCATGTTTTCGAGGGTGACAGGATGCTCTTCTCCAAAGACCCTCTTGCAAGCATATATCACTCCAAGTAAAAGCTCCTCTGCCTCTTTGAATTTGCCCTGCTGAAGAAAGGTTTGTGCTAGATTTGCCATGTTTTGGAGGGTGACAGGATGCTCTTCTCCAAAGGCAATCTTGCAAGCGTATATCACCACAAGTAAAAGCTCCTCTACCTCTTTGAATTTGCCCAGCTGACGAAAGGTTTGTGCTAGATTTGCCATGTTTCGGAGGGTGACAGGATGCTCTTCTCCAAAGACCCTCTTGCAAGCATATATCACTCCAAGTAAAAGCTCCTCTGCCTCTTTAAATTTGCCCTGCTGAAAAAAGGTTTGTGCCAGTTTTGCCATGCTTTTGAGGATGGCAGGTTGATCGTCTCTAAACACTCTCTGTCTAATATGCATCACTGCAAGTTCAAGCTTCTCTGTCTCCTGGAATAGGCCTAGCTGAGCATATGTCACTGCTAGATCTTCCATGCTTGAAAGAGTCTCTGCATGCTCTTCATTAAAGGCCTTTTTCTTAGCATCTACTAATAAAATTTCTAGCTTTAATGCCTTTTCCAGATGACCTAGCTGATGATATGTCATTGCTAGGTCTTTCATACTTGCAAAGGTCTTTGGATGCTCTTCTCCAAGGGATTTCTTGCTAGCACACACTACTGCAAGTTCTAGCTCCTCAGCCTTTTTGTAGTTCCCAAGTTTTCCATAGATTTTAGCTAATTTGAGAGTGTTATCTAATGTTCTTTCATTTTCTATCCCAAACATATGTTCAGATGTTTCAACTGCCAGTGTAGCCATCATATGTGCTTTTTGCCAGGAGCCAGCTTCTCCATACACAAGTCCAAAATTCTCTTTCTGATCAAGTGACAAATCTCTCAACTCAAACTCTTTGCAAACTTCCTCTATATGAGATAAAAGCATTTTGTGGAAGGCATAGTCTTGACTTTTGTACTCTTCAGTGATTGATTGAGAAAGTATCTGTATGGCTACAAGATGTGTTGTTTTACTCTTGCTATCCGTCATTGTAAAGTTTGCCCATTTTTGCACCAAGGGATGAATTGATAATGCAGAATGTAACTCATGCAAGTCAATCAGAGAATATGATGTTATCTCTTCAAGCATAGCTGAGAATCCAACCTTGCTCCAACTATTGCTAGATCTATCTATGAACTGATCTAGAAAGTCTGATACAGTCTGGCTTTTAGAATGATCCTTAAGCCCATTAAGTGCAGCCATCTCAAATATCTTTTTGGATATATTCCGATGATGAAAAAAGGCACAGAGCTGAAGAAACTTTTGGGCTGTAGAGCTCAGCTTATCAAAGCTCATTTGCCAAGTTGCATATACACTCCTTGCATAATTATCAGGGCTTTGTGTCGGATGATAGTCGAGCAGTTTGTTATGCTCCATCCTATAAATACTGCTATATTCTGTGATATTTTTGTTTTGGTAGATATATGCACCAGCGTGGGTGACAGCAAGCGCCAGACAGTTTAGATCCTATTAGATATTTAGCATTATTGCAAAGGCAAAGTAAAACAGTCCACACCTGAACAATAGTTTGTGCATGTATTCTCATGTCTATATTTTGGTCAAGTTTTGCTCTGCTAAGTAGCAGTTTTACTGCATCTTGCTCCAGCATATTTGAGACATGAATAATGGCCTTAGGATTTTCAATCACGTGAGAGCCCATCTGTGGGTTCCGGGAAGTAATGAGAATACATCCACGTGAACAATGTGGGAAGTATTTATAAAGATTAGCATTTGGATCATCTGCATTGTCAAACACCATTAACCATTCCTTTGTTTGACCTGAAATCCAAATAAGGGCTTCTTCTGGTGAATTTCCTGTTCCAGTACTGATGATAATGTTTTTTAGACTTGAGATGATATTCTCTGTTGTAGATGCATCCACAAAAAAGAAAAAATGAAAGCTTATACAAAGTGAGCTCATGCCATCAGTGTCATCATGAAATGACTTACCGGTTTCTTTGCCGACATTCCGAGATGAATTTGCAAGCTATTTGAGTTTTTCCAGATCCACCAAGCCCATGCAAAACTGCAATATACTGCTTCATGCTAGAGTCCACAGAGAAACATGCATGCAGCTTTGCCAGAATGTCATCTCTGCCAATGAAAAGATATGATGATTGAGGACTCTGACCAAATGTAGTTTGAGTGCGCTCTAGCTGTGCTTTTCCACCTAAGATGAACATTTCTAGGTGAAAAGTTGGTCATTTACATCAGAAGGAGCTTACCAATGGCTGAAGTAGATATTTTCTTCTTTCTCTCAGAAATAGATATTACTGCAGCAGCCAACTTCTGGCCAACCTCATATCCTAAAAGATACTGCTCAGTGTGAGCCTTGATCTCCCCCATCCTCTCCCATTGTGCTACTGCAACATCTTGAAGTCCTTGATCCACATTGAAGCGGAAATAAACATTATCCTCTTCTGAAAATCTACCTGCAACATCCTGTGCAATTTTTTCACAGTCTGTAGCAATGGCAGCCATAGTGTCTGCAAGGCCAGGAGGCATATTCTTCTGAAACAAAGCTCTAGGCCTAGGTGCAATGGCTCTATGCACCTGCCCAGCCCCAATACTGATAATGCAAGCAGCAAATTGAGAGGGAAATATGAAATTGGCTTCTTTCAACAACTCTGCTGTAGGGTTATTGTAGCCAGTGCCTGCATCTACATATGAAATTGGGATGCCATCTGAGACAATTTCAATCTTCTTGAAAAGACCTATAGTGGCTGATGTAGCACGAGCTGCTTGCCAAATTGTACAGCAAATGGATGGCTGGTTTCCATGATTGTAAGTGCGAAGATGCACAGGGAGACCCATGCTTGGAGAAAGCAAGGTGCAGACAAACCTAAAGAACAATTTGTTAGCTCCACTCATGACTACATTCACAATGCCTGAGACATACACTTTGCAAAGTTCATCCTCAGTTTCAGGATCAATCATGAGAGTGCCTGCATCCTGATTCTTTGAGTGACGCTTCACAATAGCCTTGAGTGTCTCCTCAAGTTTGGTTGCCTTCAAAATGTTACCACTTTTGCTCCGCAACTTGACGTCTGAAAAGACCGTTTCTACGAGCTCATTGTAGCAGGTGATGGCCTCATCAACGGTGAGCTGAAGTTTTCCGAGCATAAGGGCAATCAGTCTGACCAAAAGAAATTCAGCAACGATTTGTGATTAGTGCATGGGACGTACCCTCCGGTGCCGGTGCCCGCGATCATGTCAAATCGTTCGCAGGGGCGCGGCATCACTGGGAGTTTATCCTTCATCTGGATGCGATGCATGATCGTCTTCAGGATGATGAGCTCGGATAAGCCCCGTGTCCCGCCGCCGTCTGGGCGCCGACCAGAAGTCAGACATACATTGGACTGCGAGACATGAACGGACGCACCTAGCGCGAGTAATGTCAATCCTTTGTTCTCATTCTGGTTCTTGTTCTGGTCCATGTTATCTGTCGTTCTTGAAAGTTCTTGTGTTAGCTGTTCGATTGTAGTCGATGGTAAGCGCACGAAGACAAGATGAGTCGACGACGAGCGCGCGCTCAGAGACCTGTTATCGATCTCCCACGCTCAATGTCCCACGCTCAACAGTGGCGTTCATCGTATCAGGGAATATTCATACCTCGAGCTCACTGCTGCGTCACCGTCTCTCTCGTGAAATGCAATCGCACCATCGCATCAGGTCCTAGGACACCCTCGCGGCGGGTTGAAATGCAAAGAAGTCGATGGCAGCAGAAGTAGGTCGGCACAGGTGGACATGCCAATGGGGTTGCGGATTCACCAGGTGAGTCCTGCATTCGCTCATTGCGCCGTACCTGTCTCACACGCGAGGCAGAAATATATGACGGCGTTGTCGTCGCACAGAGAATTTGGCAACGGTCGTTATCACTCGTGTATGCGCTACCGCGCCTGTCCACCAATGTTTTGCCTTGAACTTGTTTCGTCATTTTATTCACTCGTGTCTCGACCATGCTTGACGAATGCACTTCGAGCAAGTAGTCGCCATGCAGTATCAGGACGCGCTGACTGATCAGTCGCATGGTGAGTACAGTACCTTTTGACTCTTGCTCCTCTATATCTTCCCCCACCGCCGCCCTCAAAACCCTTCACTCCAGCCTGCGCTCAAACCACCACTTGAACGGAGTGCCGT